GCACTTATCTAAGATATAATTAATTTATTTTTTCTATGTCAGTACAGCTCTACTTATTTTGTGAACTAATTGACACGTGGGAACTAAGAATAGATATGAATCTTGTAAAATCTAAACATATTTCATACATGAATTTACTATAAATTCAGACATGATTTAATAGGATATTAGGTGTGTTTTTTTTTTCTGTTAATTTTTAAATTATGTGATTAGATTATTAAAATTTTTTATTTTATGTTTCCGGTAACTTCAAAAAATTTTACCCTCCTACACCACTTTTAACCTCTGGTCAAACATCTGTAACTCCCAAAAATTTGCAGTAGGTGGTTAAATAGTAACATAATAAATTACTCTAATTAACATACCATTAATTTCTTTAATTAAAAAACAAAATTAAACCTCCATATTAAACTGCTCTTGACACTATAAAATGCAGTGACAAAGGCAAAGTCTTTCATACTGAAATTTTTTTTCTTTTACATCCCCAAAATAATAAAAATAAAATTATTTTCTAAACTTTACATAATGAGCAAGTCAGGTCTATTTCTAAGTATGCTTTTGGCTGTTTTTCTTGTCAATAGCAGCAGTTGTTACGCACAAGGTGAAGATCGCAAGGTATATATGAATTTTTGTATTATTAATATTATTCCTTTTTTTTTTTTTTTACTTTTTTGTTAATTACTAATTATATATTTATAATTATTTACACAAAATTATACAGGTCTACATAATATTTGTTGATGCCTCTCTTTCGACTAAGACAGCTCAACTTAATCTGCTTGCGAAGGTGCTTGAAGGAAGGTAATTATAAACTTATAAATTGTTCATATGTTTGATGTATTTATAAATGTAATAACAATATAGTGTGCTGATATTATTTAATTATATTATCTTTTGCTTATATGAAAAGAATAGTTTTATTTTACTCAAATTTATATTTTTTGCCAGTACTCCAGAAGAATCTCTAATTTACAGATAATGAGGTTAACAAACTAAGAAGTAAGTAATCTACATGCACATAAATATTCATACGCGTGTATACATAAGAGACATAATTTTCACTAATTAAACTTAATGTGCTTAATTTTAATTAATCAAAATATTTAACTCAATTAATTATAAGGTTGGGAAAAAAACTTAATCGCAGGTTTAGATGGTGTTCTGGGTGCCATCCTTGACAGAAAGTTGGAGCTTCAAAAAGGACTGGCTCCACCCAGAGACAACGAACATGCTAATGCCCTCCACGACTCTCCAACCAATTAATGATATAATTTACTCATGCAGTAAAAATTTATTACTGAAAGTATTTATGTTATAAAAAAGTAAAAAAATGTTACAGGGGTTTGTCCCTGGCTTTTTAGGCCATGGCCTCTGCTGAAACAGAGATGAATTGTGTAGTACGGAATTTAATTATGTATTACATTAATCATGAAGCAACATTATCTATTTGATGATGTAAATATTCGATTCCGATGATTAATTAACATAGATCACGATTGGGCTCCTCACTTTATGTACTCCATCATCCCAAACCAGAGATGCGGATACTAATGTCTTTTCAATACTTCCTTCGATTTTCAGTTGATACGGAGCCTTCTGGTCGAGAGACGAGAACTGTAACACATCAGGAGTTACTGTTATGTTAATTCCTGCAGGAGCTGTCACATTCGCTCTATATGTTGACATTGCTGATCCTACATTTGTGACAATTCTATTGTAGATACGGTTAATAGATCCGAATTGTGTTGCAGCATAAGCGAACGACGGATAATTCAGATCCCATTCATCTATTGATCCCGAGCAGCTTCTATTCAGATCACCGGTTACTAGTTGTAGAAGGGTGGTATTATAACCTTGTCCGCATAAAAAATTGATGTAATCAATTTCCCCGGCGTCATATACTAATCCGGGATTCGGAGCTTGAGTAGGATTTATATGTCCTGAACCATAAGCAAATTCGGCATCTAAATTGATCCGGGGAGTCATTGGAAAGGCTGCAACAAATACATAAACAAGAGAATTGCAATTACTATTTTCAGTTAGAAGTTATAAAAACTTTTTGAGCATAAAAATTTAGCATTACAGTTGGCTAGTACCCGTGGTCATAAGAGCAGACTTTATCGCTGCAGGCGACCATGTAGGATGAAATGATTTGACATAGGCCGCTACAGCTGAAGCATGAGGGCAGGACATCGATGTCCCGGAGATTATATTGTATGATACAAACCGATTATCGCCTGGAACACGAGTGATAGGTGAAACTAATGACCAAGCAGCAAGAATATCAACTCCTGGGGCTGTCAAGTCCGGCTGCACAAATGTTAAGATTATCCCAGAAGCTATTATTAATCTGATAAGAGTGATAATAAGGATTATATACGTATGTATATGTATAACACAATCAGTATTAAGTATATTTATAAATAATGGAAATACCTTCAAGATATTAAATGAAATTGGATTTGGTCCTCTTGATGAAAAGCTAACCACATAAGGCGCCAGTGTATCATTGTCCTCATTACTCTTAAATATTGTCCCAGTTGGATTGCTATGAAGTAGAAAGATCAAACCCTGGATTAGTATAGGATCCAGGACTGATAAAAATTATAGGCATACATATCTACGTATATATGTGGCTATGTATCTATACACCTTACTGAGTTCATGTAGGTGAAAATGTCGTTCCCATCTGATCGCTCAAGGTGGGACGCGGGTAGCGGAAATGAGCGTGCGACATCGGTAGGGAGAGTGCTTTGCATCAATGCACCAGCAGCGCCAGCAAAGAATGGCCCTGAGCCATTAGTCAGACCATCGCACAAAACCAATTTACCCTTCACTAATTCCTCATCCAATGAACCTTCCGAGCAGAGCCTATGAATTAGCAATATTTGGTTTATATATATCTTGATCAAGACGCGTAATTTCCTCTCTCTTTTCTAGTATATTTGATTTGATTTATCAATGTTACCTGGATGTGTTACCCGTAAAACCTCCTGTGATATTTGGTGCATCTCCTCCGTAGATCAAAGGAAACATTTGATTGTTTAGGTCAAAAGTATTTATTGAAACCCCCTACAAACGTTAGAATTCTGAAAATTACGACATGTTTTTCCTCTCAAATTCTATGGAGTAGCAAATGAAGATATTCTCTTGTCTCTTACCTGATGAACTTCGTTGTTACCAAGCTGCACCTTTGTAAAGAACTTTCTATCAGTGGTGCTTGCAGCCACAGAAAGAGACCACGGAGAGAAATTAGTGATGGTGAACGGGTCGGGACCTTCGTTCCCAGCAGAATTCGATGTCAATATCCCATGTTTCATAGCATGATAAGCACCAATAGCAATGGAGTCCTCAAAATACTCTCTTGGAATCGAAGTTCCAACTGAGAGAGATATTATGTCGACCCCGTCGCTAATAGCATCATCAAATGCTGCAAGAATGTCAGTATCAAAACACCCTTCTGACCAACATATTTTGTACACAGCAATTCTGGCTGATGGAACTCCTCCACGCGCAGTCCCAGCACCAAGGCCAGACATGTTTGCATTGCTAACCAAGTTTCCAGCTGCTGTTGATGCAGTATGAGTTCCATGACCCTCCGTGTCTCTTGGAGAAGCAACGTCTTCAGGGCTAAATTCTCCATCACTACGATAGAATCTTGCTCCAATGATCTTGCTACACAAGTTTTGAATTGTAATTAAGTCAAACTGAAGTGTCTAGAAAAGTTCAAGATTGATTTTTTGAGAAGGGTCAATGTAACTTGCTTGTTGCATGTGAAATTGGTGAAAATTTGACAAGTGCCTTTCCATTTGGTGGGTGGTGGACTAAGTCCTTGATCACTGAAGCTCTCGGATTCTGGCCAAATTCCGGTGTCGAGCATGCCGATGATGATATCATTTTCAACAGGTGATCTTTTAACCTGTTGAGGAAAGCCCATGAAGTCCCATGACCTTGTTGTATGAAGCTTCCTCTTTTCGTTTGGGAAGACAGATACTACTCCACTTAATCCTGTATATCAAATTAAAACAAAGTTGTTTTTTTTTTTTTTTTTCTGTTGATCAGTTTGTTGAATTAAACTGGGGATTAATTAATTAATTGAATGTAAATAAATATGAGATCGTATAGATTCTGCAACATGTAGCTAGCTAGCTTCACCCACCTGTCATTTTTTTAGCTTCTTCTTTAGTTAGCTTCACAGCAAATCCATGGAAACTTTTCTTGTAGCTACACAGTAGAGACTTTGGAGAAACAGCCCTGAATCAGACATATACGTATACCTAGGTTAGTAAACCAAACATGTATACTTCACTGCCAGCTAGTTTCTTGCCAACCAAACAAGTTCGTTATTACAACTTCGAATTAGTGTAAATTTTAGTTGTCCAACATCTTCTCAAAAATAAAATCCAACATATTCCGTGTATTCCAGAATAACATGTTCTGGATTTGGTGGTGAAAGTAGTTTTTGGAGGTAAAATATTGTTGAAAATAATAATTTATAAATTAAGGAGACTCTTTATTTTATTAAAAGATTAAAAATAATTATTTTGAAATTAAGATGACTTTTTATTTTATTAAAGAGTTTAAAATAATAATTTATAAATTAAAGAAATTTTTTATTTTATAAAAGATTAAATGTTATAAATATATGTTTTTCTTTTTTTGAATTTTTCTACATTATTCATGTTTAACATATAATTATAGTCGTGAATTAAACTTGATTATGGTAAAAACTACAAATGAAATTTTGAATTTTTCTATTAATTTTTCTTTCTTTCTCTTATTTCCAACAAAAATATTATCTAGAATTAACTTATTTTTAAAATAAAAGAATTTTAATATTTTTTCATATTGTTTAAACTTTTTAACTAAAGTACTTATTTGACTAAATTGTTTAAAACGGTTAGCGCGCTTATGCTACGCGAGGTATGGCCTGGTTACTTTTTTATAGTCCGCAGCCAAACATGATCATGAGAAATAATAAAACAAAATGAACTATATGTTTATATATATATATATATACACACACACACACGCACACACAGAGACATATAGACAATTTCTATGTATAATAATACTAACCCGCCAGAAACAGCTTGCAACATGCTCATGTGAAGAGACGAGGTCGAAATTTCCTTCTTAGGCGGATCCCCCATGTACACAATATATGTCTGCGTGTTCCATGTGATTAACGTAAGAAAAAGAGTTTCCGTAGAAACCAATGTCCTTTGAAATATATTCTGAAATGTTGAATAAACAAAATAAAAGTATATAAATCATGATTATCGTTATCAACGTATACTTGCCTTCTGATCATCATCTTGGCAGGCTGCTCGGTCAGTAAGCAGAGAAAAAATGATAAAACTCTGCAAGAGAAGCAACGGGAGAAGAAAGATTTTGTTTCTCATAATTGAAAAAAGTCAGCTTAGTTAAACTAAAACAGATGAAATGATTTGTAGTGCTGGTGGATCGACATGTATTTTCATACGAGAAATGGATAGGTATATATAGATTAAATTAATGAACTATACCTTTCTCAACAAGCCATCAAATGATAAGGTTTCATATTAAATTTTCCTGGGTATTTTCTGTTTTGCAAGAAACTGACATGGTAAAAGTTTTATTATTTCATACTTTTGCGTATTACTATTTTATTAATGTGGAAGAGTTCAACTCATTTAGCAGAAATATTTTAGATCAACTGTCTAAAGCCGGCTTTTGTACATAAGTGAAGTATTTTCATAAATATAAATTTATTGATCATTACAATTGGCATACGCCATTAGGTTCTTGATTGTTTGACTGCAAAAATTTGATGACTACAAATCAAACATCATAGAAATATGATATTGATGGAGTAGGCCAGGACATTCCTGATCTTGATAATTCTAATGGCTAATAGATATAATAATTGCCAAGAAGATAACCATGCATCATGCCGATGATGATGTATAACCAGGAAGATGATGATCAGAGATCATGTTAACTTAATCAAATTAATTTACAAAGAATAATTTTTTTTTCAATATCAAATTTAATATTTGGCAAGTCTACTGTCTAATTGAATTAACGAGGTCTATTTTATTTCTCAAGAACTGGATACTTAGAGAGCTAGACATATTTCATAACATTTTTGGTTATAGATGTTTTGATATAAACTAATAGAATATATATATATATATATATATATGAACCAAAGTTTATATATGATCTGGAATTTAAAAAAAAAAAAAACTTGTTATATATATATATATATATATATATATATAGGAGGAAGCTTGGCATCTGTTTTGCTGATACGTTCTGATTTATGCAGGCTTTTTCTGGCAGTTTTTGTTTTCAGTGAACCGCCGGGTAATCAAGCCCAAAATTTTTAGACCGATAATTTGGGTTTTGCCAATAGATTAATGTCCTAATCAATTCACGTTAATAGATTTAATTAATCCAAAATTAATTGATCAATAATTTATGTCTTTCGTACTAATCTAGCTTAAACTAATTGTATGTTCATCAGTCTATTCATACGCCTGCGAAAATGGATAGCTTAGCTACCTGTACTTTTTAATTGTCTATTATTACTAAAAAAATTTTAGTAGCATCACCATTTTTTCTTATGTTTAGACATTGAATTTTTCTTGGCGTGACTAAAAAAAAGACTGATCAAACATGGAAGCTTATTGCTAATTGTTCAAATTCTACTCATTTGAGAGTTCTTTTTTTTTTTTTTTAAATACAATCTACTAATTTTGTCTAAATAAAAGATTGATTTGCCTCAATTCTTTGCTATATATTTACATTCCAAGCCAATATATATAGAAGTATTTTAAATTAGATAGTATTATCTGGCATATAAAAGAATAATACATATATATATATGTACATATTTTATTTGGTTTGACTCAGAACCAAAAATATTTTGTATGGT